AAATCCCAGAACCACACAGGGGGACCTAGTGAATGACCTGCAGAGAGCTGGGACCAAAGTAACAAAGCCTACCATCAGTAACACACTATGCCGCCAGGGACTCAAATCCTGCAGTGCCAGACGTGTCCCCCTGCTTAAGCCAGTACATGTCCAGGCCCGTCTGAAGTTTGCTAGAGTGCATTTGGATGATCCAGAAGAGGATTGGGAGAATGTCATATGGTCAGATGAAACCAAAATAGAACTTTTTGGTAAAAACTCAACTCGTCGTGTTTGGAGGACAAAGAATGCTGAGTTGCATCCAAAGAACACCATACCTACTGTGAAGCATGGGGGTGGAAACATCATGCTTTGGGGCTGTTTTTCTGCAGAGGGACCAGGACGACTGATCCGTGTAAAGGAAAGAATGAATGGGGCCATGTATCGTGAGATTTTGAGTGAAAACCTCCTTCCATCAGCAAGGGCATTGAAGATGAAACGTGGCTGGGTCTTTCAGCATGACAATGATCCCAAACACACCGCCCGGGCAACGAAGGATTGGCTTCGTAAGAAGCATTTCAAGGTCCTGGAGTGGCCTAGCCAGTCTCCAGATCTCAACCCCATAGAAAATCTTTGGAGGGAGTTGAAAGTCCGTGTTGCCCAGCGACAGCCCCAAAACATCACTGCTCTAGAGGAGATCTGCATGGAGGAATGGGCCAAAATACCAGCAACAGTGTGTGAAAACCTTATGAAGACTTACAGAAAACGTTTGACCTGTGTCATTGCCAACAAAGGGTATATAACAAAGTATTGAGCAACTTTTGCTATTGACCAAATACTTATTTTCCACCATAATTTGCAAATAAATTCATAAAAAATCCTACAATGTGATTTTCTGGAAAAAAATGTATCATTTTGTCTGTCATAGTTGACGTGTACCTATGATGAAAATTACAGGTCTCTCTCATCTTTTTAAGTGGGAGAACTTGCACAATTGGTGGCTGACTAAATACTTTTCCCCCCCACTGTATATAGAGCTATGGCTACATGGAACTCATTTCCACACCAGGTAACTGATGCAAGCAGTAGAATCAAATTTTAAAAAATGAATAAAAATACACCTTATGGAACAGCGGGGACTGTGAAGAGACACGTGCAGGCACAGACACACATACACATGATAAGACACACACTCTACACACACGTACACATGGATGTTGTATTGTAAATATGTGATAGTGTAGTAGTGGCCTGAGGGAACACACTAAATGTATTGGGTAAATTGTTATGAAATGTAATGCCATGTAATATTTTAAACTGTATATAACTGCCTTAATGTTGCTGGACCCTAGGAAGAGTAGCTGCTGCAAAATTATTATCTCATGTGAAATAAATGTGACAACATGGGGTTGCAAAATTGCAACATATGTCAAGGCGTCAGTGTAATGCGGTAGGCGAAGTCAGGCGCAGGACACAGAGCTAATCAAAAGGCGTACTTTACTCGTAGGTAAAAGAATGAACAACAACCTCCATTTAGGGAGGGAATAGGGGCAGCCTCGGCTGAATCCATGACAGTACCCCCCCCTTGACGCGCGGCTCCAACCGTGCGCCGACCCCGGCCTCGGGGACGGCCAGGAGGACGCGGAGCAGGGCGGGTCGGATGACTCTGGTGGAAATCCCTCTAAATGGAGGGATCGAGGATGTCTCTTCTAGGGACCCAGCACCGTTCCTCCGGACCGTACCCCTCCCACTCCACGAGATACTGCAGGCCCCCCACCCGACGCCTCGAATCCAAGATGGAACGGACCGAGTACGCCGGAGCCCCCTCGATGTCCAGTGGGGGCGGAGGAACCTCCCGTACCTCAGACTCCTGGAGTGGACCAGCTGACCACTCCCCCTGCTGGTCCTGGCAATAGGACCTCAGAAACCTACCCACATCCTGGTTAACTCTTTCCACCTGCCCATTACTCTCGGGGTGAAAACCTGAGGTAAGGCTAATCGAGACCCCCAGACGTTCCATGAATGTCCTCCAGACCCTTGAGGTGAACTGGGGACCCGGATCCGACACAATATCCTCAGGTACCCCGTAGTGCCGGAAGACGTGTGTAAACAGGGGCTCAGCAGTTTGTAGGGCTGTAGGGAGACCTGGCATAGGAATGAGACGGCAGGACTTCGAAAAGCGATCCACAACGACCAGGATCGTGGTGTTCCCTTGTGAGGGGGGAAGGTCCGTCACAAAATCCACCGATAGGTGGGACCACGGCCGTTGTGGAACGGGTAGGGTTTGTAATTTCCCTCTGGGCAGGTGTCTAGGTGCCTTACACTGGGCACACACCGAGCAGGAGGAAACATAAACTCTCACGTCCTTGGCTAAAGTGGGCCACCAGTACTTCCCACTAAGACAGTGCACTGTCCGACCGATGCCAGGATGACCAGAGGAGGGTGACGTGTGAGCCCAATAGATCAATCGATCACGAACCCCGAGCGGCACGTACATCCGACCCTCTGGACACTGGGGGGGAGTGGGCTCGGTACGTAACGCCCGCTCGATGTCCGCGTCAACCTCCCACACCACCGGTGCCACCAGACACAACGCCGGGAGTATGGGAGTGGGCTCAATGGACCTCTCCTCTGTGTCATACAGTCGGGACAGGGCGTCTGCCTTAGCGTTCTGGGAACCTGGTCTGTAAGTGAGAGTAAACACAAAACGAGTGAAGAACATGGCCCACCTTGCCTGACGAGGGTTCAGCCTCCTCGCTGCCTGGATGTACTCCAGATTACGATGGTCAGTCAAAATTAGAAAAGGGTGTTTAGCCCCCTCAAGCCAATGCCTCCACACTTTCAGAGCTTGAACCACAGCTAACAGCTCCCGGTCCCCCACATCATAATTGCGCTCCGCCGGACTGAGCTTCATAGAAAAGAAAGCACAGGGGCGGAGTTTTGGTGGCGTACCCGAGCGCTGAGACAGTACAGCTCCAATCTCAGCCTCGGATGCATCCACCTCAACCTGGAATGCCAAGGAAGGATCCGGATGAGCCAGCACCGGAGCCAAAGTAAACAGGTCCTTCAGATGCCCAAAAGCCCTGTCCGCCTCAGCTGACCACTGTAGACACACCGGTCCTCCCTTTAGCAAGGAGGTAATGGGAGCTGCTACCTGACCAAAGCCCCGGATAAACCTCCGGTAGTAATTGGCAAATCCCAAGAATCGCTGCACCTCCTTCACCGTGGTTGGAGTCGGCCAATTACGCACGGCCGAAATGCGGTCAATCTCCATCTCCACACCTGACACGGACAGGCGGTGTCCGAGGAAGGAGATGGACTCTTGGAAGAACAGACATTTCTCCGCCTTCACATACAGGTCATGCTCCAACAGTCTACCAAGCACCTGACACACCAGGGACACATGCTCGGCCTGTGTAGCGGAGTATATGAGAATGTCATCAATATACACCACTACACCCTGTCCATGCAGGTCCTTGAAAATCTCATCAACAAAAGATTGGAAGACTGAAGGAGCATTCATCAAACCGTATGGCATGACGAGGTACTCATAGTGCCCCGAGGTGGTACTAAATGACGTCTTCCACTCATCCCCCTCCCGGATACGCACCTGGATCTACGCGCTCCTGAGATCCAATTTCATGAAGAAGCGCGCCCCGTGCAATGACTCCATCATACTCGCAATCAGAGGTAATGGATAGCTGGATTTTACAGTGATCTGATTTAGACCACGGTAGTCAATGCACGGGCGTAAGCCACCATCCTTTTTTTGTTGTTGGGGCATATTATTCTGTTTTACTGTTACTCCTTAATCACTATAATAAATATAGTAGCTTTCTTGAGTGTATTTTTTATCAAAGCTGAGATTTACTTTGAAGTCCAAAGTGTAGGCATAGCAGGAAGCTCGGAATGCCGTTAACCAACAGGTTGTGTGTTCAAATCCTGGTGAGAGATGTTAAATAATAGTTACTGTGTATATATCAACATGCACAATGTAATCATGTGTGTCAAATATGTCAGTTGAAAAAACTGCGACTGCGTGATATTCTGGGGACATCCTAACAGCTCATTTTTGTTTGCAGGGCACCACCTGGGAAATCTTGTGTGAGAAATATCCACGTGAAACTTCATGTGAAATATCATCACATGTGAAGTATTCCTAAACCACATGATTTCACATGTGAAATCATGTGGTTTTTCCATAAGAGGAGAAAATGGAATAAGAGAAAAGGAGAGTGAAACAGAGACAAAGAGAGAAAGAGAATTTAGGGAGCTGAGTTAGCTGATTAGAGGTGGGGGGGGGTTGACACTAGAATCCTGGTTCCAAGTCGTTGCTCTATTTTTACTCTGTTCCTCAAGGCTCCATCTCTGATAATGAAGACAAAGGTTGGTGTGTGTTGGCTCTTAATCCTCCCCTTTATAGGGCCAGCAATATTATCTCACCAGCCATGTGTGTGTGTCCGGACATTTGTGAGTGTGCATGCATGTGTGTGTGTGCTTGCATGCGTGTTTGAGTGTTTGTTTGCATGTGAGTGTTTGCGTGCGTACGTGTGTGTGTGCGTTCCACAGTAACCCAGTGTAAATGAAGGGATGGTTCTTTCAGTCCCGCGGGGTGTTATCTCTTCCTCTCTAATGAGGAATGGGGCTAAATTGGATTAGGAGACTCCTCAGTCAGAGCTGATGTGTGGATCTGCTCTGGTCCCTTTGTATTATAGACCCTCTCTGGGACTGGGAATACATGTCCGTCAGACACAATTAGCCCGTGATAGATTTCTTTTAGATATCGCTCTTATCCTCTTTCTCGTTTTAAGGGATTCCATAGGGCAGAAGAATAGAGACAGTTCAGGGTTTGTGTGGTGAGGAGATTTGGAGTGGTCAGGTTGGTGGTCAAACGTTCTGCCAAGGTTATCTCATTATTCCTTTTGTCATCTATGACTTTGAATTGCACAATTTCAACAGAGGTCACTCAGGTTGAGAGTGTGTATTTTACACAGTCATGCATGCAAGTGTGTATTAACCTGACAATGTGTTTATGTGTGCAGAAGCAAGGTCCAGATGGAGTTCAGGTCCAATTGAAGCACCAGCTGCTGCAGGTCATTGTGAGAGTCCTCCAGTACCGCATGTTGCTCACAGGTATCCGACACACACCTCATAATGTACTATTACAGTATTGTAATACTAACTTTAATGTGTGTACCCTATCTTGGCTCTTGACCTTGAATAGTGTTATTTGGCATTCTACACATTATGAATCTGTTTATGTTTTTGACTAATTTGTCTGTTTGTGCCATTATTTTTTTTCTAGATTACTTAAACAACCTCTCCCCTGATTCTACAGAATATGAGGATACACAAGGTATAGTCTTTCTCTGCTTTATAAGAATTGCTGTAGTTTCTTCTATACACGCCAACAGTTGTTTCTTCAGCAGTCACACACACACACACACACACACACACACACACACACACACACACACACATACACACACGCACACACACACTGACTTAGATACAATATCATAGGTTAGTTGTTTAGGCCCAAACATGGCAGTGTTTAAACCCTGCATATTCATGGATATTAACCCTTTATATCTCTCCCTCTGTGTTCCAGCTGCCTTAGTCATCGTTTCAGAGGTGGCAGACCAGGCTAATGAAAATCTCAAGCAAGGGGTAAATCGGTGTGTCTGTATGGGTGTTTCTGTGTTTATTTCAGACTACTGTGTACATGTGCTCATACACGTGTTTGCTAGAGGTATGCATGTGCAGTATGTACAAACTTGGAGTGTGAACTTGCAAGTGTGGAGACAGCTCACATTTTCCCTGTGTAAATCCTTCTTGGTTCCGGATGACAACACTATTGGGAGTGAAACCACATCAGTGATCTTGGAGAGGCCTGTCTCTCTGCTCTCACTGGGCTCTGTTGCCTATTGATTAATGTTAGGGCGAGGAAACATGATGTCATCGAAAGAAAGGACATTACTTACATTGTAGAGCACACACACACCCTCACACAGATCATCCTAAAATACAGCATCTATCCCCTGTCTCTCACAGCCACACAGATCATCCTAAGATACAGCATCTATCCCCTGTCTCTCACAGCCACACAGATCATCCTAAGATACATCATCTATCCCTGTCTCTCACAGCCACACAGATCATCCTAAGATACAGCATCTATCCCCTGTCTCTCACAGCCACACAGATCATCCTAAGATATAGCATCTATCCCCTGTCTCTCACAGCCACACAGATCATCCTAAAATAGAGCATATATCCCCTGTCTCTCACAGCCACACAGATCATCCTAAGATAGAGCATATATCCCCTGTCTCTCACAGCCACACAGATCATCCTAAAATAACTATAATTTATACAGTCATTTGGGGTATTATCAACAGTAAAATACTCTGAGATGTTTTACTGCAGCAAACTGTAAATTATGGTGCATTGTGGGAAAATGTTGTGGGCTCCTTTCGAAATTGCTGTATTTCGAAAGGAAAACCTTTTGACCGCTAGTGGATGCATGGTATTGTTGTTTCTGGCTCATTAATATATTTGAGGATTACCTTGTTAGAGGCTATATTTGTTGCACCTGTGAGTGAGAATGCTCTACCAATTTAACTCCTATGTGGTTATAATGCCCAATCAATAAAACATTTATAGGGGACAGATTGGAGTGGCAGAAAGTCTTAAACCTTAAATGGTTGAGCATTTTGCCATGTCTGTTTTGGTCTGTAGTCGCTGACAGTTTGGAAGCCTTTGTTAAGGCCTCTAGAAGTGCCATCAAATATTAATTAATATGCTGTAATGTGTAAACACTTTACCTAGCAGCCAACCTCCTTGCACCAATCCCTTGTAATTACAGCAAAATACTGTGAAATACAAATGCCTCCCCTCAATTAATTTTATTAATTCATCCATTCATTCCGATTACGGTAGCATTGACCTTTTTACAGTATTATAAAGTCCATTTTAGGGTATTGTACTGTGTGTCTTTACACTGTACTTTCTTTGATACTGTATTTATATTACAGTAGTTGTACTGTAATATGAAATACAGAATTTTACTTGCCACCGAACTGCCTGTAAGCTACTGTCATACTGTCAATTTCAGGGTAACCCCTTCACACACACACACACACACACAAACACACACACACTATCTCTTCCACTCCTATTCAGTTTCCAGCAGCACATCCCATTCCTCCGCCATCCCTCTCATTCACAAGAACAGTTTCTCTCTTTACCCATCTCTCATAAGAAAATCCCTCCCTATCTCACTCTCCTCTCTTGTCCCTCTCTCTCCCTGTCTCTCTGGCACACAGGAGAACTTGCTGCGGCTGGTCCACATTGAGTACAGTGTCAGAGGCAAGAGAGATCTACTCAAGCCAGGAAGGGTGAGACCAGTCTGCCTCTCTCTCTCTCTCTCTCCCTCTCTCTCTCTCTCTCTCTCTCTCTCTCTCTCTCTCCTCTCTCTCTCTCTCTCTCTCTCTCTCTCTCTCTCTCTCTCTCTCTCCTCTCCTCTCTCTCTCTCTTCTCTCTCTCTCTCTCTCTCTCTCTCTCTTCTCTCTCTCTCTCTCTCTCTCTCTCTCTCTCCTCTCTCTCTCTCTCTCTCTCCTCTCTCTCTCTCGCTCGCTCTCTCTCTCTCTCTCAACAGTGTTACTCTGTTCAACAAACATAACATCAACAGTGAATAATACCAATCTCAGACCGTGGCCTTCTAGAAATCCCACACGGGATCTAAAAGCCCACTGCTAGTACAGTACAGGCAGTCCTCTTGCTAACATGTTCTCTATTTCTGTGTGTTTGCAGGTGTTTGTGAAGGAAGGCACTCTAATGAAAGTTTCGAGGAAAAGTAGACAGCCCAGACACCTGTTTCTGGTAACTATTACCTGTCTACTAACTACTATCCTCTTCTTGTGCCATTCAAACTTTCACTATCTAATATTTCAGTATCACACATGGTGGTTATTCTGATCATGGAAGGGTGGGGTCTCATCCAAGTTCTCTGGATACTGTTGTGGCTGGTAGAGGCAATCAGATGTAGATGGAAACAGGACGAGGAAGAGAGTCAAAGGGAGGAGGCAGAGGGAGGCAGAATGTAGAGGCAGGCAGAGGAAGGAGGACAAGGCCACAGGGCCACACCTAGGGTTGCAAAATTCCAGGAACTTTAAATAAATTCCCTGGTTTTCCCAAAATAACAGTTGGAGGATTCCGGATTTACTGCTTATTCCCTCCTGAGAAAACCAGGGAATGTATTAAAAGTTCAGAGAAATGTACAACCCTACCCCCACCATACACAGCCAGGTGCCTCCCTCTCTCAGGGCTTGTTTTCGAGGGCCCTGCTTCCTCACAGGATGTTTGGTGTGGGTCACTGGATGCTGGCTTCCTGTGCAGTGAGGGTACTGACATGGCTGCAAAGGCCAGACACTCTGTAGACTGGGGGAGGGACATAAAAACAAAGTCTTAAGGAAGTAGATGGTAGAAAGAAGAAAAGGGTATCATATATTATTGTGACATTTACTAGTATGTACTTTGTATTGAAGTAAAACAACGTGTGTTCATTTTAGAATCTGCATTATATGAACACAACCCAGCTAGCACATTTCGTTCCTTGGAAGTTGTGGGAATGTATGTTTTTGGTTTCACATGGGTTGTGGGAACGACGCCATATGTTTCTTGGAACATTCTGAAAATATGAATTTAAATAGAACCATAAGGAAACCTGTAGGAAACTTGTGTTGAAATTCCCACAGAAGAACATTGTTTCTTAACGTTCTCTGAACTATTGAGAACATTCCCAATGTGAAACCAGTTGGAGAATGTTCCTAGAACATTACCAACATTTTCATTAAATGTAACCATGTTTGAAATTTTAGGAAACGTTCTGTTAAAGTAATGAAATACCAAGGAAAATAACATTATTTTGTCAAGTTCCTTAAATGTGCTGAGAATGTTCTAAAGCCAAGCAACTATCCTGCACCATTCCCAGAAAGTTGTGGGAAGGTTGTATGCAAAATAACCATAGGACAAACACGCTCTCACCAAGCTATAAGAAACATGGTTCTCAGAACGTTATGTGCTAGCTGGGAACACTCTCTTTGAGGAGCCATTCTCTTTCTCTGCTTCCTTTTCCAACCAGTGTCTTATCGTCTTCATGTCTCTCTCTCCCTGTGTCTCTCAACTGGGTTGTATATGAGTGATGGTTGAGAGACTGATGTGTGTGAGTAACTGGGTAGCTCCTCTGGAGTAGATGGCTGGAGAGGGGCAGCAGGTATAATGTATGGCCTTTAAGGAAAATGAGTCCAAACAGAGATGATGAAAGCCATCACTCACTTAGTGACACTGAGGAGCAGCGCTCAACAACCGTCAAAGCACTGTCATGCTAACCAGAGGAAAGTCTTAGAGAGGAGAGAGCCGTGAGTGAAGGGATTAGGGGAGGATGGAGAAAAGAGAGGGACTGTCACAGGAGGGAAGAAACAGGTTAAGTACTTGAAGCAGAAGAGAGGAAGAGAAACGTGTTGGGAAATTGAATGTGCAGTAGTTGGGCATCTAATGCATGGTTAAAATGGACTTTCTAGGTTGTACTTGGTACACATCTCTTAGTCTGTAATGTGTGCTGCTGAGAGTGAGTGTGTGAGCCTGTGGCAGGGTGGGGTGGGCCTGCAGTGTGAACACCACTAAATCAAATCAAATCAAATTTGATTGGTCACATACATATATTTAGCAGATGTTATTGCGGTTGTAGCGAAATGCTTGTGTTCCTAGCTCCAACAGTGCAGTAGTATCTAACAATTCACAACAATACACACAAATCTAAAAGTAAAAGAATGGAATTAAGAAATACATCATTAGGACGAGCAATGTCGGAGTGGCATTGACTAGAATACAGTAGATTACAGGATATACATATGAAATTAGTAAAACAGTATGTAAACATTATTAAAGTGACTGGTGTTCCATTATTGAAGTGGCCAGTGATTATATGTCTATGTACATAGGGCAGCAGCCTCTAAGTGCAGGATTGAGTAACCGGGTGGTAGCCGGTTTAACAGTCTGAAGCTGTTTTTCAGTCTCTCGGTCCCAGCTTTGATGCACCTGTACTGACCTCGCCTTCTGGATGATAGCGGGGTGAACAGGCCGTGACTCGGGTGGTTGATGTCCTTGATGATCTTTTTGGCCTTCCTGTAACATCGGGTGCTGTAGGTGTCCTGGAGGGCAGGCAGTGTGTCCCCGGTGATGCATTGGGCAGACCGCACCACCCTCTGGAGAGCCATGCGGTTGCGGGTGGTGCAGTTGCCATACCAGGCGGTGATACAGCCCGACAGGATGCTCTCAATTGTGCATTTGTAAAAGTTTGTGAGGGTCTTAGGGGCCAAGCCAAATTTCTTCAGCCTCTTGAGGCTGTTGCGCCTTCTTCACTACACTGTCTGTGTGGGTGGACCATTTCAGATTGTCATTGATGTGTTAGACGAGGAACTTAAAGATTTTCATCTTCTCCACTGAGGTCCCGTCGATGTAGATGGGGGCGAGCTCCCTCTGCTGTCTCCTGAAGTCCACGATCAGCTCCTTCTTTTTGTTGATGTTGAGGGAGAGGTTATTTTCCTGGCACCACTCCGCCAGGGCCCTCACCTCCTCCCTGTAGGCTGTCTCGTTACAGTCAGGACTGGAAGGGTCACATGCTGTTTTGTCCCTGTTGAGCTTGTTTTGTTGTTGTGGTGGTGGCTGGTTCCAGGGCCTCCACCCAGACCAGGCAGTTTCTCAGAGCAGCTGGGAGCTGGAAGGGACCAATGGAGAATTCCTGGATGCTGCCTTATGGGCCACGGATGTTTAGAGCACACATGATGTGTGACCAATGATGTCACTGCTTTTGTCCCACTCTAAATAAGGCCCTCCAACACAATAGGCTGAAGTATGTTCTGAGGATTACAATACATTGGGTGTGATAAGCAGATAAACTATCATATAGCCTTTGTTGTGTGTTACATGGGAATGGCTGGTTTGAGGCGTTAACGTTTGAGTGTGTGAATAATATGAAAGGAAATCAAAATATTTTTTGGGCGATCCAGGAGGTTCCACATTAATTGCTATAAAGTCCTCCTCCAGTCTCCTTTTCACCTCATTTAACACCTGATTTTCTTAACAAAAGGCACATCTCAATAGGTGGTCCAGGTATCCTCATGACATAGCACAAGTTCCTCATTTGTTCTCTATTACTCCTCTATTGTTTGCAATTGTGGCTAAAAAACACTATTTTGCTCAAAACATATTTTGTTTACCCTTTAGTGTGTGTACTTTACTGTATTTATACTTGGGATGTCACTTTTCAACAGGAAAAGTTCAAAAATCATTAGAGGACGTCTTTAAGTTTATAGTGCCCCCTTGTGGCAGTTGTGTTATTCTAATGTGAAATTCCCTTTGAAGGAGATGAGGGCTATGTTTCCAATCTCTACCCTTCTCCAGAAGTGTGTTCTTGTTCACTCCCCCTCATGCATTTAAAAGCATTAGATTGGATGCAAGCATGGCTGGAGGGAGTATTCCTCACACCAGTCCATTCCTTTCAAATCCATTAAGGAAATTATACGAGCACACACTTCAGGAGAAGGGTAGAGAACCGGAATGTAGCCATACATTTCAGGCTGGCAGTCAGGCTGTACATTCACACATACGGCTATGAGAGTAACCATACCCTTGTCCCTCTGTTTCTGTCTCCACCAGATGAATGATGTGATGTTGTACACCTATCCTCAGCAGGATGGTAAATACAGGCTGAAGAACACTCTCTATCTGTCTGGGATGAAGGTGAGTCTCTCCCTCTCCCACTGAGATGACCTTCCATGACCTTCACCCCTCACCCCTGACCTATGGCTTTGTCAACACGTCTGTCTGTCTGTCTGTCTGTCTGTCTGTCTGTCTGTCTGTCTGTCTGTCTGTCTGTCTGTCTGTCTGTCTGTCTGTCTGTCTGTCTGTCTGTCTGTCTGTCTGTCTGTCTGTCTGTCTGTCTGTCTGTCTGTCTGTCTGTGTGCTGACTGCTGTGCTGTGTGTCCTGTTCTCCCAGGTCAGTATACCCGTCATAGACAACATGCTCAATGCCCTGAGGATCGAGGTATCTGATGTCAGCATCACCTTGTCAGCCAGGTAAGTCAGAGCAGAGGACATCTGTCTGGGGCTTTGTACCAGTCTTGTCCATTGGTTACATACAATATATGTATTTGAATACAGTACATATACTGCATGTGTATGTACACATGTATATGTCTAATAATGTGTACAGCCTTAACACATCTGTTTCTGTATCCCTAGCTCCTGTGGTGAGAGGGAGGACTGGTTCCACACGCTGAGTCGGGCCATAGCAGACCATGCTGCAGGCCTGTGTACCTTCGGTGGCCCCTGCAGTGAGGTAATGAGTTAACCACTGAATGACACTCATGACAGGACATACCATTAAAGCTCACTTGTATACAATTTAACATATGACATTTATAAAATGCAAAATAGGATGTTAACGTTGTTGTAACATTGTTGTTGTTTAGTTGTAACATTGTTGTAACGTTGTAACGTTGATGTATTGTTTTATAATGTTGTTGTAACGTTGTTGTGACGTCGTGTTCCCATGCAGGCACGTGAGAAGCTGTGGATGGCCCTGGGGGAGGCTGCTCCAGTGCTGGTGCCCGTGACTCATGTGATGATGTGTATGAGCTGTACCTCCGACTTCAGCCTAACCCTGAGACGCCACCACTGCAACGCCTGTGGGAAGGTGAGACACACACACAGGCCTTACTGTAGGAGTCCGTCAATCATACTGCTGTCATAGGAGCCTCTCACTCATACTGACCCCAGCCCAACCCACTGTTTTACATTATCCTGGCAGAAAAAAAGAAGAGTAGCCCTTTTAGTATCTTGACTACTTGATCTCCAATACTCCTTAAATCAGAGGTCCTCTCGCTCCACCTTCACACCTGTTCTCTCTCTCTCCACACCCAGGTGGTGTGTCGTGCCTGCTCCAGGAACAGGTATCCTCTGAAATACCTCAAAGACAGGATGGCCAAAGTGTGTGACCACTGCTACGCTGAGCTCAGGAAGAGAGGTGGCAGTATCTCAGGGGCGTGTGGCAACTCCAGCCCCTGCCCCCAGCGGGCCAGCCGGCCCCTCTCAGCTGTTTTCCAGAGCTTCCAGCCCCCAAGCCTGTGGAGGAGCAGGAAGAGCACCTCTTCACTCAACCAGGTCCGCAATATTCATCACCTTTGACCTTTATCAGTGTAGTTTTGTAGTTCTGCTCTGATGCAGGATTCTATGGTATGCCCTGCTAACTCCCTGATGTTGACCTCTGACCTATGTTGCAGGTAGAGTTGGGGGCTGAGGGCTCGGCTGTGAGTGGCAGCCTGCAGCGCCGTAAGAAGAGCAAGAGGAAGTGGAAGAGGCTGTGGTTTCTCCTCAAAGACAAGGTGCTCTACACCTTCACAGCACGTGAGGTGAGGGGGCACAGAGTCTCCCACACCAGCCCCAAACACACACACACACACACACACACACACACACACACACACACACATACGTACACACACGTGAGCACGCACCCTCAATATACTCACAATATGCCCCTACTGTACTCGACTCTTTTAAAAGCTTCTACATAGTCTCTCCTGATCTGAAGAAATTATGTGCTCTCTCTCTCTCTCTCTCTCTCTCTCTCTCTCTCTCTCTCTCTCTCTCTCTCTCTCTCTCTCTTTGTACTGTTTTATTGTGTTTTTTTTAGCTTTGTAGCTAGCTACCATTTAGAATACGCAGTATCATTAACTTAAATCATAAATACAAGTGTGTGTTAGGTTCCTTGCTTCTCAAAATTCTGTAGAAACATCATTGGTATATACAGCTGAGTATGTGACTTGTCCCTTATACATTTTCTTACCTCACTCTCTTCTGTCTATCTCTCTCTCTCTCTCTCTGTCTCTCAACACAGGACAAGATGGCATCTGAGAGTCTGCCCCTGCAGGGTTTCACAGTGAAGCTGACAGAGAGGCCGGAGGGAGAGGAGAGCTCCAACGTGTTTCAGCTCTACCACAACAAGACACTATACTACACCTTTAGAGCAGACGATCAGCATACTGCCCGCAGGTCAGGCTACACACACACACACACAGACAGACACACACACACACACACGCACACACATCTACAGTGTTCATGTTATTCACTTTTGTTTTGCAGGTGGGTCAATGCCATGGAGGAGGCCACAGTGTTATAACACCTACCTGTCTGCACAGACCGACCCTGCTGTGCATTGCCTATCAACCCACTCTCTCTTTCCTGGTTTATAGCTGTCCCTCACCATGCCTAAATGGAATTAATATGAAGACTTATTTTCTCTTGAAGGAAATTGAATATCATTCATCCTTTTGCTACACTGGATAAATTCTCACTCTGGGAAAATGAGTGTCTCTGCGCAAACGCATCCTTGACAAGGCTGCCATCTACAGGCAGAAAGGCGTACATGCAGACTCTGTGTGGCGCAAACGTCCAAGAGTGAGTCTCTTAAGGTGAAAACCTCTCAGTCAAGGATACTCAGACTGGGTCAGTTCCAAACTCACTGCAGGACTTTGTTTGGGTCAGCAGTGGCGACTTGAACAGGACCCTGAAGTTGGCACTGCGTGCCGAAACGTTGGTTACTAGACCCGTTAAATGTTTGGGAGCATAATTAAAGTGTGCGACTTTCTTTCTTTATTTTTACACAAATCTTCTGAGGAAATAGACAGAACCAGCTCAAAACACACAGGTCCCCGTGTCAACAGACCACAACTGCATGCCACAACATGCCACAACTGAAAACTCATAGACAATGTATATCAACATTTTTCATTGACAGCCTCCAGTGCCCATTCACACACTTATCTTTTCAGACACTCTTTTTCTACCATGAACTTGTACATGGAACAACTTTGTATGGGTTCTGTTTTGGATAGTGCAGACTGCTGTACAAACAATACCAAATCAGTATGCTGCCCTACAGAGGCAAAACGCTGTAACTACGTAATAAAAAAAAAGGCAAAATCAGACTTCAAAGTCATTTTCTGTCTAGACAGACTGCAATTTCTGATACTCCATGATATATTCTGATCAACTGGCTTGTTCTTGTGTCAGGAAACGAAATAACACCTTCATCAGATAATATACCTGGTCATTAAAACAGATCAAAGATTTTTGAACAAAATTCGTAGTTACTGTGTTTTGCATTTGTAGGGCAGTATGAACAGCTTTGGTATTGTATGGAGACGTTTATGTGCTGTAAGAGATGCCTCATATTTTAAATATAGTGTAATATTCAATTCACACATTTTGAAGTGAGGTATAAGAAGTATTTGTACAGAAATGTTATTATATGATGTTACAGGCGAAAGCCATTTTATTCATTATATCTTGTCCAATGTACTCTCTGTAAACATACTTATTTTACACCACAGGTTTACTCCTGTGTGTAATAACAATGACAGAATGTGAAATGTTACAGACAGTTTTAGTATTATTCAACAAAAGATCTGCTTGAAGTATATTTCATAGCTGAATGTATAGTTTTAAACCTTTTTGAAAGGGTGGTTACATTTTTGAAGTGCCAACAGTTTCCATTTGAATGCCGTGCCATGTGTTATGGATAAGATAATGTGCATATATAAAATGATAGTCTTTATGGCAATGGCTGAAAAATAAATGGTAAAACAAATAAATAAATATAAGTTTTAGCACCAATTGAGACCTTTTTTAGGTGCTGGTGATATTTTTAGATGCTGATGATGTCACTCTTTTCTAATTCTTCTTTGAGAAAATCAGATGTTAACAGACTATCCTATCAGACTTGTCAGACTACATTTTATTCTAGTCAAAATGCAGCTAGTCATGCACATCATGAGTATATGTATCTACGCTCAGTCGATACGTTTGGTCTTCATACCTGGGATTATGGGTTATATCAATAGTGTTATGAGATTGTACCTCTAACATGGCTTTGCATATAGCACAATGTAAATGTTGATGGACAGTATACAGTTAAACAATACAGTAAATAAACTCATCAGAAAAGGCTGCTTCCTCTGTGCTTCCATAAGGACAAACAGAGAAAGAATGTACATTTCATCAGAAACAATAATGGTGCAGTTGATATGGCACAGTTACTAGGACTATGTAAATCAAATCAAATCAAATCAAATTGTATTGGCTGCATACACATATTTAGCAGATGTTATTGCGGGTGTAGCGAAATAGTCAGTGGGTTATGTCCAGGTGAACATCCTAGTGAAGATAATTTCACAAACAGACAAACTCATCATAAACAAGCTGATACCTGTGCAGGTCATGGCCCTCTGTTTCTCTCTAGCTTTGAGCCTGGGGCAGATACCCGTAGAATGTTAAAAAGTCACTTGAAATTGAGTTTAAACAAACATGTATCTCCTCTCTGCTATGCAGGTGAATTTGTAGATCAAGCGGTGGTTAGGCACACAATACCGTTGGAGCTTGAGCCTGGTCTAGTCCTAGAAATACAGCCTCAGACTAGACTACTTAACATTTAAAAATAGAACTATCAAGAAAATAACATATTGCCTTGGAAGGTCACTTTTGTCACTGGCTTGTTGACAAAATTGTAGTTTATTCTACGTCAGTCTAATTTCTTGGTGACTCTTAAATAGCCTACTTTACTGAGATCAGAATACCTGTTTTAACTTATCATAACCAAAAATGTTATACATGTTTTTGTTACATTTGAGTCATTTAGCAGACACTCTTATCCAGAGCAACTTACAGAAGCAAATAGCATTAAGTGCCTTGCTCAAAGAGTACATCGACAGATTTTTCACCTAGTCGGCTCAGGGATTCAAACCAGCGTCCTTTTGGTTACTGGCCCAATGCGCTTAACCGCTGGGCAACCTGCATCATTATTTATATTTTTGTATAAGGTGGCCTTTTCATTGATGGTATGTACATCGTACAGAGTGTTATTTACACTCGTATCTTATCTTATCCCCCTACACTATGTAAACTATACAAATGAATAAGTATTGGACCATATAGTTTATGTGTGTGCTCTCCCCTTTTGAAGACTATGCAATACAGTTTTTGACCGTAGGCTATTTATCAAATACCTCAAAAGAAAAACTGGTTTTGGACATGCTTTCTTGGTGTCATGTTGCTTCACATGTTAGCTACCACAGTCTCTGTGACGATGTCTGTATCTTTATCACACAGGTGGTATTGTTACACTACTTCACATCAGGAATAAGTGCCCTTTATTAAGCCTGCTCGTGCTGTTCCCACTCAACCACTATGTTAGTTTAAAGATATTCTTTGAAGATATGTATGACGATAATGATGAAGGTGTAGCTCAGTTGGTAGAGCATGGCGCTTGCAACGCCAGGGTTGTGGGTTTGTTTCCCACGGGGGGCCAGTATGAAAATGTATGCACTCACTAACTGTAAGTCGCTCTGGATAAGAGCGTCTGCTAAATGACTAAAATGTAAAATGATGATGATGATTGGTGATGAAACACTTATTTACATCTGATTATTTTGCGGCGAATGGGCTATCTGATCAATATAGTTAGCCTGATATTCTGTGGTCACCTGGAGTAAAACAGAGCTGGCAGGAGCTGGTATGGCCATAGTGGTGAGAGAACCTCAGACACTGCTGCAGAGGATACATTCATTAGAGTTACCAGCCTCAGAAATTGCAGCCCAAATAAATGCTTCACAGAGTTCAAGTAACAGACACATCTCAACATCAACTGTTCAGAGGAGACTGCGTGAATCAGGCCTTCATGGTCGAATTGCTGCAAAGAAACCACTACTAAAGGACACCAATAAGAAAAAGAGACTCGCTTGGGCCAAGAAACACGAGCAATAGACATTAGCCGGGGGAAATCTGTCCTTTGGTCTGATGAGTCCAAATTTGAGATGTTTGATTCCAACTGCCGTGTCTTTGTGTGACGCAGTGTAGGGGAACGGATGATCTCTGCATGTGTAGTTCCCACCGTGAAGCATGGAGGAGAAGGTGTGATGGTGTGGGGTTAATAAAACACTGTCAGTGATTTATTTAGAATTCAAGGCACACATAACCAGCATGGCTACCACAGCATTCTACAGCGATAGGCCATCCCATCTGGTTGGCACGTAGTGGGACTATCATCTGTTTTTCAACAGGACAATGACCCAACACACCTCCAGGCTGTGAAAGGGCTATTTGACCAAAAAGGAGAGTGATGGAGTGCTGCATCAGATGACCTAACCTCCACAATCACCCGACCTCAACCCAATTGACATGATTTGGGATGACTTGGACCGCAGAATGAAGGAAAAGCAGCCAACAAGTGCTCAGCATATGTTTTGTATTTTATTTCACCTTTATTTAACCAGGTAAGCCAGTTGAGAACAAGTTCTCATTTACAACTGCGACCTGGCCAAGATAAAGCAAAGCAGTGTGATAAAAAGAACAACACAGAGTTACATATGGGGTAAACAAAACATAAAGTCAAAAATACAACAGAAAATATATATGTGGGAACTCCTTCAAAACTGTTGGAAAAGCATTCCAGGTGAAGCTGGTTGAGAGAATGCCAAGAGTGTGCAAAGTTGTCATCAAGGCAAAGGGTGGCTACTTTGAAGAATCTCAAATATAAAATATATTTTCATTTGTTTAGCACTTTTTTGGTTACTACATGATTCCATATGGGTTATTTCATAGTTTTGATGTCTTCACTATTATTCTACAATGTAGAAAATAGTAAAAATTAAGAAAAACCCTTGAATGAGTAGGTGTGTCCAAACTTTTGACTGGTACTGTATGTTTACTGTATATATGTGTGAAGTCATTTGGGAGCAGTAATCTAAGTGCATGGGTGTTGTGTTGAGTCTTGAGAACAGTAATTGTGAAGGGTTTTGATACGGACTCTACCTCAAGTCTAATGTAGCTTCAGGTTCTATCTCTACAGGTGCATTCATCCCATACTGTCTTTGTGCCTACCCTGCTTCCCAGCTAGGACTGAACTGACGGTAATACAACACAAATAAGATAAGCTAATTAGCCATATCAAAGAGTTCTACTGAGCCCCAACCGACCAGCAGACCAAGGAAAGTAACGCAGCAGCTGGTATGAATAATTAAAGTTAAGAAACAGCACAAAACATTTTGTCCTACTTCTTTTCAAAGCCTGCAATATTAATGGCCACAAGTTAAACAGAACACTGAAGGCCAACAGCAAGAGCTT